TTTACCAAGCAAAGGACACTTATCAGCAGGCAGCTGGATGTGCCACTCCATGGAGCCACTGCCAAAACTGCTCAGGCTTATCAGCAGACACAAATTGTCTGCTAAACTCCACATCACAGTGACCAGCTGAGATTAAGCAAGAGCCCTGCAGGGAGGTTCCAGCAAAAGATCAGCAAAGAGTCTCAAACTGTGCTATATTCTCTCCATGTGGTCATGGGCTGTGACTTGCTCCCAGTCACAGTTCAAAGTGACTGCTCTAGAGGTGCCTTGCCACCATGATTATGGAAGTGGCTGGAAATGAGGTTAAGCTCAAATTTTACTCCTTCTAGCAGAAACTGTGAAGAACCTGTTTGTAGAGATTAGCTCCTCAAATATACTTTGAGATACTCAGTATTTATCCCATTTATACCGTGGTTCTGTGCATGGCCACATCCACACGCTCACTGTAAGAACAAGCCCTGCAATGGGAACAGCTCCATACATGGGAGAGTTCTCAACTCAAGTGAACCAAAGTATGACAGATATGTGAACAAAGGGACATAAGGTGACTGTGGAGCAAGTGACAGAAGCACAAGTGTAGGTGCCAGCTACAAAATGAGGTATTTGCATATAAAAGCTAAAAATACCCATAAATCTGGTTTCCTGGATGGAGACTGCAGATGTACGAATACAGGGTGGAGAAACCAGCCTCTGGCCCTGCTCACCTCAATGAAAAGCAACGTGCCAGAACTTGTACAGATCAGAGCTAGCTCTCAACACTCTGATTTCCTGTGCACTTGGGACTGCTGAGAAAACAGATGAAGTATGACTGTAGAAAAAAGTCATTGTGGAGGAACTGGCAACAGGACAGAAACTGAGCACTAAGTTCTTACCTGTTTTCTTTCTCTTCTATATCACTCGTACTGCTTAGTCTTCTGGGGGCTATTGTGGCAAAATAGCTCTTGTTGTCTTTATCCTGGTGAAGCAAGAGAAGTACTTCAGCTGCACATCTGTTACACTTCCAGCACATTCAGTGACAACTAAATTCAAGTTCAGTTTCTTTCTTTCTTAAGCATTCTCCTGTCCAAGGATAACTGGTTTAAGGCATTTTCTCGGGCAACAGAAACCGCAGCACAGAAGTATCAGTTCTGAACATGATGTCCTGAAGAGCACACTAGTGAATAAAAGCAGCTTCCAACTAGAACTGCTTATGAATCATAGAATCATAGAACAGTTTGGGTTGGAAGGGACCTATAAAGCTCATCTAATCCAACCCTCCTGCAATGAGCAGGGACATCTTTCACTAGATCAGGTTGCTCAGAACCACATCCAGCCTGGTCTTGAATGTCTTCAGGGATGGGGCATCTACCCATGGGCAGCAAAGTTACAGCTAGTGAATATGTGCAATGGGATTCACAGATACACGAGGAATCTGTATAGATGGCAAGGGAGGAGGATTTCCACGGCAGGTATGTGCTGCTGTCTGGATTAGATATTTTCTGGTGAAGGATGTGCCACAGCAGCCCTTGTCCACTGGCTGCCCACTCCAAACTGAGCAGGAATTAGGTTAAAGGAGCACTGAACTCCAGCTCTGTAAGAACAACTGATAGGACAGGAGTAATTTTCAAAAGAAAAACAAAGAATGAAGAGACCTGATTTTGTTCTGGATACAAATCCCAGCAATAACTCACAACTAAAGGGAGAAGGTCTTAAAGCCGTGAGGTAAAGACTGCCCAACTGGGATGCACTGAAACCTCTTTGCTGAAAGCCAAACCTTTTCTTTGTTGTCCAGCAGTGCAGATATGCGAGGGCTCGAGGAAGAACGATAGATAGAAGCAGTTTTATCTCTTTGTGCCTCCCGAGTAGCAGCAACTTCACTCAGCATGTTGTGACTGCCCGTCTTCCGCAGCCCCAGCCGCCACGACGAAGGCGACTCGTCCTTCTGCTCCTCGGCCTTGCTGAGCCAACTGAACTGCAGAGGAGAGAAAGGGACATGGGGAAGAAGTGAGAGCACTGCAAGGCACCATCTACGTTCTGAAAGTGTTTCAACAAGCCCCAGTTTTTGCTGGGCCACACTTGGAAAGCGGAGATGGAATGACCTTGATTTCCTGCTTAGCTTTAGTTACATGGCTCAAGGTGAACTCCCAGGGATGCAAACTGCTGTAATGCCCTCACCCCTGAGGACAGACAATAAAAGAGATCTCGTGTCATTGTGCAGCTCCCTTTGCCTGCACAATGCCCTCCTCCAGCTTTGCAGAAAGCGCATAAGGAACAATGAAGCTTTTATTAGCACCCACTTAGGAAGGGGGAATTATTCAGTAAAGGCAGAAACCCAAAAAAATAATCAACTCTTTTGGGACTAGCTGCAAATAAAACCCTTTCACAAACCAAACTGGAGAGAGTCCAGGAGAAAGCCATTAAGATCATCAGGGAGCTGAAGCCTACAACACATGATGGGAGAGACTGAGGAAATCTGACTTGTGTAGCACTGAAAAGAGAAGGCAAGGAAAAGGTTTCACTGCTCTGCTACCTGGGGATGGGGTTCACATGGGATATGGAACCAGACTTCTCAACAGTCTGCAGTGAAAGAACAACAGCCAAGTTCCAACATGGAACATCCCAACTGATGTGAAGGAAGCCATCCCTCCTGATAGGAGTGATGCTGCACTAGGAGCATGAGAGTGGGGCCTCCCCATCCTCAGAGACTTTTTAATACTCAGCTAAGCTCAGGTAGTTCAAAACAACAGGACAAAGTCTTGAACCTGGCCCTGCTTCCAGCAAGAGGTTGGTCTACAGGCTTGCAGAGGCCTGTTCCAACTTAAGCCATTCTGTGGTCATGTAACTGCATGTTCTATACATAGTACAGAATGGATCTTGATGCTTTTTGTTACATGAGGCACTTCTGATGAGCATATGTTATTCCTCAAATATGCAACTGCTCAAATGTACAACTCGAGTCATAGTTATCAAGTCTTACAAGAAAATGCCATTTGAGAATGGAGCCTGAGCACTGCAAGAGATGCTTCTACAAAGACAGGGGCTCACCACTGAGTTGTATAGGAAATAAAACAAGCAAAACATTAGGAATTATTAGAAAAGAATGGAATACAAAACAGAACACGATTTTGCCTCTGTGTTACTGCAGGGTACATCACATCTTTGGTATCATGCACAGCTTGGCCCCACAGCTCAAAAGCAGTAGAGAGGAAGGGGAAGAGATTCAGAGAAAGGCAACAAGAATGAGTACAGCAAGAGAGCTTTTGTATGAGGAGTTATTCAATATATCAGGAGAGTCCAGGCTAGGACATGACCAAGGTACAAAAGCCCCACAGTGACACACAGAAGGATGAATAAGGATCAATTACTCCTTGTTCCTTCCCATAAAGGAACAAGGGGCAGCAAACAAAACCAGCGTGGCAGGAACAGGCACAGAAAGCTCTGTGTAATATGTAATTAAGCTGAAGAACCCTTTGCCACTGGACATTATATGATCCCAAACATTGTGGGGACTCTAAAAGTGAGTGCATGAATTCATAGAGGGAAAGTCCAATGGGGGCTACTGAATACAAAAAACACCCCAGGTTCAGCAAGTCCCTGAAATGTGAATTGCCAGGAGGTGGGTGAGAAGTCCTGCTAGATTCTGTCTTCTCTCATATCTTTTGATGGTCACTGGCAAGGGCAGGATACTGGGGTAGACAAGGCTTTTGGCAAAAGCTGCATAAGCATTATTCTACATCTACCTAATTCTACATAACACAAAACATCTGACACTATCCAGAATAAATGAAGCTACTGGGAAGCTCTGCCCTCAAACTCATTGACTCCAGACTGCAAAGATGAAACTATCACTGCAGTACTTCAGTGATGTTTCTTAGCTGATGGTACTTTAATGCAGATGCAAGGACTTAATTTGTGCTCCACTAATTCAAGCACTTCCAGTCTACCCAGCTCCACAGCTCTAACACTTTAATGCAGTTTTGACACTTGCTTCAAAGAAAGCTCAAATCTGCAGGAAAAGCTGCCTTCTGAGATTGCTGAGCAGCACAGGAACAGCACATGTGAGTAACTCCTCAAATGGAGGGCAACACGAGCACTCCTATTTTCCAATGTAAAACCCAGCCTGACAGAGAGTTACAGAAGAATCAAACATGTCAGAGAAGGGTAAGTAGCTGATCCCAAGTGACTGAGGTCAAATTAACAACTGCTTTGCACACAGACCCACTTCTATATCCCAACAGCCTTATTCTGGGTTAAACAGCTCAGATGAGTGAGAACAGAACTCTGAAGCTAGGAAAAGGTTAACTGACTTGCTCACACTTCCCAGTGTCCTTCTACCTTTCATACTTCCCCGGCTAAATTGCCCTGAGTTGAACAACACCCAGAGGAGCTCTATTTGACCTGGACAAGAAGCTAAGACTTAGTAGCATGTCAAAGATAAAAAACTCGTGACAAAGCAAGAAACATTCTCCCTGTAACATGTACCTACTGCTCCAGCCTTTGGCAAGGCGCCTGCATTGTACAGCTCTTCTCCATATTCTGGTGCAAAAAGAAACCAGAAGTGTAAGATACCAGTCCTCAGCAGGACACAGAGTCTCCTGGTGCCATCTAGCTGACTGACATGAGAGCTGGATGGAGAACTCAGATAAGATTTCTCTACTTCACCTTTAAAATGCTTTCATAGCCTATCTAGTCAGATGCAAACTTTATCCCCTTTGCTTACCGGGCTGTAACATCATACCACTGAAACAACGGAGTTTGGCAAGTCAGAGGCACTTCAAATGATGA